TCTTCAGGCAGCATGTGTGTGAGCTTGCGAGTCACTACCACTGGTAGAAAACAGCCTGTTTGCGATGCCAACTGCGATGCCATTTTGACGCAAATTGATGCCATCACAGTGAATGCGATGGCATAAAAGGGGCTGTGATGGCATCAATTTGTGTCAAAATGGTATCGCAGTTGGCATCGCAAACAGGCTGTTTTCTACTGGTGTACACGGGTGATCAGTGACACCAATTACATCGATGAGAGCTGAGCACTGTAGTCAGGCCGTTGTGATTGCCTCCCTCTGACCGAACATTCCTGTTATTAACGGAGCACCTGGCTGACTGTCTGTTGAAGGGATCTAGGACGTCGCAAAACGTAGCAACCAGTTGTTATCACATCTCCTAAGTAAGATACATGCATCAAGCTCGACACAATCTGAATTCAACTGGGTACTGACAGTGTTTGTCGGTGGCACTGCAAATATCAAATGTCAGCGACCAATAGGACATCATGCTAGCACTATGCAAGCCAGACCCGATGCTGCCCCTGGGTTGCAATCGCTAGCTTGCGATCCAGTGCGTGATGGCTGCTCAAGCGGTCTTCACGATGAACAGTGGATCGATTTTCCACTGATGTTTGATTGGAAAATATATACTTGCCACGGAAACAGCCCGTTCTCCTAAGCCGTTGATAAATGCTCACATCCTAAAAGCACATATTCTGGATATGCTTATCCCGGATGTGGCGCCCATTTCCTACTCGACATCCAGGATACCGGACTTCTCTTGGTGGCGCCAGGAGAAAGTTTGGGGTGATGCGCGTAGCCGCAATAGTTAGTTGGCACCAGTTGTGTCTGCGAAAGCATTCCCAGCCTTTTTAAGTGAGAAATAGCGGCAGCCGAAGAGACTACACCACGGGGTGTTCAGCGTAAGCCGTGCTCTGCATTTAATCAACCGGTGTCACTATAACATGTTCCGAGCTGTGGTGCATTTCTTCCGAGGCGTAGTGATGTGAAGGCTCTGGTGGGCCACATCGAGGGAACTCCCCATTTCATAATAAATAAATGTGGTGCTTGCAGTCGCTGTGGACACGCCTGAAGTGCGGGTCTTTGCGCTTTCCGAGCCACTACTAGGGTTTCTCGATATTCCAGAACTTCGAGGAAAGCAGGTTGCATTCATGCGCCTGCTGAAAGGTCACCAATCGGCTATGAATCGCGAGTGTTGAAAGCCCAGGCATTGCCGTCAAGTGGTCGCTTCCCTGGGACATGGTGTCATCCCTGTTGACGACAAGGACAAATGAATGCGAATTTGCAACTAGGCTAGGTCGATGCCTTGCCTCCTGATGTTTGGTGGGTCAAACATGGTTGTCACTTGGAAGAGCTAGCGAAAAGACACACGAGGTCGCTGTTGCGCAGCCATGTCATGGGAGCGCAATGTGTCCTGATGCGCGCTCTTTTGCCCCTGCTAAAGTGCTCTCAAACGCAGTGATTGCCCACGCTGAGGCCATCAAGGTTGCCATGTTGACACATCCAAGCGGTTCTGTGTTGCAGTAGTTACCAATCGCCGAAATTTGGTGGACATGGCCTTGAGAAACACCGCCAAAAGGACCAGCGGGGCAATTGAACTCAGGTCCCGGTCGGAACAGCAAAATTGATCAACAGGGTTGACAACACTCAAGCGCGAACTCAACAAAGGCAGGCATGGTCCTGAGCTCTCCAGACTCTGGAATCCAGTTTCTTCAGGCATCACTTCGGCCTTCACGACCGTTCATGTGCCTGACGCAATGCGGCGTCCGCTTGCCGTGCAGAGTGCTAGATGACCATTCCTATTGCAACTTCCACAAGGACCCCAACAGCGGCCAGACCCGCTTCTTCCGCGACTTTGCCCACCACTATCTTCATTTTCTCGTACCAAGACTTCTGTTCTTTGTCTTGTTGCAAGGATGTCCAGGGATCGGGACGCTCGGCAAGTGGAGGGGGCCCATGTCCATAGTAAGGTGTGGGCATGTTGTAGCCATGGGCTTGTGGAGCTTGCCACACTCTAACCTGATCAACAGATCTCGTCCTAGGCCCTCCTGCTACCCCGTTCAGCACGCCAGGGGCGCCTGTTTGCGCCCATGGCTGCATTTTCCCGAGCGGCACCACATCTGGACTTGCAAAACACCTAACCCATTCACAGATTGCCTCATCTGCAGATTGTGATGCACAGCCTGCAGGCGGAATGGTAGGATAGAATGTCCTACCTGAATTCATTCCATGGCCAAACCCATGGGATGCAGAAGCCCCTTGTGCACTGTTCATTTTCCCGCAAGAGCAGCACTTCACTGTCCTGAATCCCTGCGGATATCCCAACCGCTGGCGACAGCCTGAACACGCAAGCGACAGAATCGTAGGAGACGACCTCGTCAAAGGTGCAGGAGTAGATCCATGGCACTTTGGGCACACGACTTCGTGGCAGCCTCCTGGGCAAGTCAGGTGGCAGCCGCACCCTTGGCACAAAAAGGTGGACATGGAGGGAGGCGGGGTCACCTGGTTGCATCTGGGGCACATCACACCGTCTGCATCCGCCATGTAAATCAAAAGCAGGTGGCAGTTTCTGCAAGCCAAAATCGCATCTCCGCGACTCATGTGTCCATGGCTGACAAAAGTGGACATCGAGACCCCGCTGCAGTGCACACTTGGGGCGCTTGGAGAGTACATCAACGTTCTGCTGCAGTGGCAACAGGCCACTGCGAGAAGAAGAGTGTCTGCAGGCCTTCGTCAGACGACCGCTGATGGTTGTTTGGGCAGCGAACTCTCGCTGTTTCTCGTCACAGCTACTTGCCACGGAAGTTTGCCCGTTGCCTTATGCACTTCAAATGTCCAATGGCAACACTCCTGTGTAGGCACATAGACGCATTCAACGTGTTGTGAATACGGTGAATCGACGAATGAGCAATATGGAGATGGTGTTGTTTGTGGTGGCGGTGTGTGTGGGGGGTGGAGGGTGGGGGGTGGGGTTCGGGGTGGGGGGATATACTCATTTTGCCTTTATGTCCGTCATCACATCACAAGTGCAACAAGAACCTGCTTTGGCTTGTGGAGGAAAGCGCAACATAAGGAACAGAGCAAGGTGTGCAAAACAGTGTCTGTGCAAGTGTCGCAAACCTTCACCGAAGTACATGTGGGGCTGGAAGCGACGCGGGCTCCGTCGGGGTGTTAAAACAGCGTGGCTTTTTTAATGTCTCGCCGCGTGTAGGGGTATCTGAGCACTGGCGATTCGCCAGAAGCGCATCACGACCCAGGCGCAGTCTGGGATGCAGCCTCTTGGCAGTGTCGTACTGTCCGGTACAGCCAGCCGACGCAGGATGCACCAGCGCCCTCGTGCCCACATGTTCTGCTTCAAGCACCGCTGGGCAGTTGCAAAGTGCCGCGGCGGGACGAGCACTCCAACTGCTGCACGGCGTGCAGTTTGTGTGCGCGTCTCTACCAATAAAGTGGTCGTCCATTGGCCGGAGTTGCAGCAGTGCTTTGTTGCGCACAATGCACGGGGATCAGCATACACACTTTCGATGCATCCGCAGCTTGATCGAGAACATCGACGTGGGAGACGGGGTTAAGTTATCCAGCCACTCAGCTCCGCGCCTTTTCTCCGCAACGCTTTTCAGAAAATGCCGAGGACGTCTGCGCCAAGCCCCCCACCCCAATGCTGAAGCCCCAATCGGGTCAGAGTCAATCCCTATGCGGGGCGGACATAGGTCCAACGCGCCTGGAGGACCTTCGTCCGAGGCAGGACGGCCGACGCGCGTCTTCGCGCCCCGCCGAGGTTGGGTGCCTACCGCGAACTTGACGGCACCAAAGCCACCCTCCACCAAAGAGTGTGAAAGTTCCTCGATCGCGCCCCTGACGGCGCTTCAACACCCCCTTGGGGACAAGAGACCCGTCGAGGGCGCCAGCTCTGTGGTGGCGCTCCCCCCCAGTTGCCCGCGTAGCAGTCGGAACTGCCCAGCACAACACCCCTCACGCGGTTTTATGGTCCACCAGAATGACCAGCGGTTCGCAGTTGCCCGGATTTACGTGATGTTGATGCACCCCCACACATCCGCTGGACGGTCCTCTGAAGGAAGGCTTGTGGAAGGATGATGTCAACGTGCAGTGCTCGCGCTCCCAACAGGACAGGGCTCTTTTCTATCAACGTCTTGTGACATTGGACCGGTCGGCGGATCAGCTCCTTTTGGCCCAAGTGAAATTTTGACCAATATGTCATGTCCCGCCTGGGCAGCACAAAAGGGCTGTCACGTGAGTTCGGAGTGGGGCTGACGAGGTGAGAAAGTGCGAAGTTCGCACTGCGAACTCAGGACTGCAGGCAGCAGAACCATCGATGAACCAGGGCCATAAACAACAATCGGGACGGTAATCAGGACTCCTTACGCACGCTTACTCCCAGGCACGAGAAGCCAGGCCGTAACCGGATGCATTGCAGGATGAGCAAACCAACCAAATAGCATTCGCTGCAAGTTCTCAATCACATCTCCATACTCATTTCACCATACTTGACAGCATGTCCACCATATCCGGTCAAACACACCATATTTAGCACCATTTATTTCAAATCACCCAGATGTCTTCCTCGCTCTCACAACAGTTGCTGTTGAAAAAAATAACAAAACATTGCCCTGGTTCACCACCGCCTGGCTCAAACATTGCATCAGGCTCACGGATGTGACGTCATAACCCGCCGGAAACTATATGGTGTAAAATGCTGGGGCAAAATATTCTTCTGATATCCACCGGTTAAGGCAAAATATTGTTCCAAGATTTGCTGGTACTGGTTAGCGTGCGGCGATATTTTGCGCAGAATATTCTTCCATTGTTTTGCCGTCACATTGGGGTGCCAGAACACAGAGATTCTGGCACCCCTTCCCCCGCGCCAAATACTCCCTCCTGTCCATTCCGCACCCGCGCCCAGGCGGCCAACGTGCCAACGCCCGGCACCCCGACCACGCCACCGTCAACCCTGTCAGGCGCACGCTGTCCGATCCGCCATGGACGAATCGCAGCTGCTGCACTGCCTGCAGGCGTCGCTGCACAGCGACGCGTCCGTGAGGCAGAACGCCGAGGCGCAGCTGTCGGCGGCATCCCGGCAGGGCGGCTACGGCGTGGTGCTGGCCAAGGCGGCGCTGGCGCGTGAGGTGCCGCCCGACCTGCGCCAGCTGGCGGCCGTGCTGCTGAAGCAGTACGTCAAGTTGCACTGGCAGGACGGCGGGGAGAAGTTCGAGGTGGGGGCGGTTCTGAACTTGGAGGGGTTGCGGGGCTTGTCTGCCAATGCAGTGAGAACCTTTGGAGAGACTTTGCCGTTTCGGGCAATGCTTCGGGATTCCTGGCAGCCCCGACTCTGTCCGAAAAAGTCAAAGACAGGGATTGTGGACAATCTGCCCATGCCGCGGATGGCCCATTTTTGATGGAATCCCCATACGCCGCCCGCGTCCATCGTGCCGTTGGTGATTTGGTTTCGCACTTTGATTTCGATGAATTGCGGGAGCCGTGGTGCGAGAGGGGGGCCTGCTGATTTGATCCGTTGCCCGCAGCCGCCGGTAGTGCCCGACCCCGACAAGCGGGCGATTCGCGACCTGGCGTTGCGGTGCCTGTCGGACCCGGTGCCCAAGATTCGGACGGCGGTGGGGATGGCGGTGGCGAGCATCGCGAGCTGGGATTGGCCCGAGAATTGGCCCAACTTGCTGGAGGTCCTGGTGGGCGCCATCAAGGAGCGGAAGGACCCCGACCTAGGTGCGCCTGGGCGGGCCACTCTTCCTCCTTGAGTGCTGTCAGTTGCGATTTCAGGTCTAGATTGTGCCCAGCCATTCAGGCAATGTCGGGACTTTTGAGGTTTATTCAATTGGTACCGGAGGGCGAAGCAGCACTGACAGCAGGTACTGGAAAGGGCTGATGAAATGTGTATTCAATATGATCTGTCACCCATCATTGTTTGGTGACGACGAATCGAAAGATTCTTTCTTGCCTGCCCATGAATTGCTGATTGCAGCTGTTTCGATGGGGCACAGCAGTGCATCTTCAAGCATCGAAGGTAATGATCAATGGTACCAGCACATGTGGAATGCAGCCACATTTCGCTCCAACAACACATGTTCATCACCAAAGTGGTTCCATCACTTGGTGCATACTGCTGAATGCTCTCCTGGGAGCGACTGTTTCTTTTGGTTGTTGGCAAGCAATGCCAATCGAAACAGTGAGTGGCTTGGTACGATTGGATGTTGGGTTTGTGGTGGGTGACTTTATTGGTGACCATTTTATCTGTTCGCTGAAATGTCCTCCTTTTGGATTTCTTGGAGCAAAGGGCTTCACATCAACCATACAGTTGTGGGCTCACGCCATGTTGAAAACTTGTGTTCAGCGCTGGGGGTGAGACTCAGGTTTGTACTGTCTGCTTCTTCTGCAGTACAAGGAGCTCTTCGGTGCCTGTCAATGTTTGCTGGAGAAATTGATGAGGGACAATTACCTGTGGTGGGTGGCTCAGCCTCTCTGGACTTGAAATGCTCCACCTACTTTGTCTCCTGTCTGTCAGAAATGCTTAACAGTCCTCTAGGATGCATAGTGTTCCACCTTTGCCAGTTCTCATTTCTTTCTTGGTGCCCAACAAGGGCAACTGGATTTCCCAGTATCTCAAGGAATTCTGCATGCTGCCTTCCTGGACTCCTGGGACGTTGCAGGAGGATCAAGCACGAGCATGGGCTTGCACAGTCGCATTGTTGGCCGTGCATGGCCTTAAGCCAGTGAATGGAGTTGTGCCAATATCACCGCTTGGTTGAGTCGTGACTGTGCTGCAGGTGCTGCCTGTCCTGCTCCCAGAGTTGAAGTCGATCGTGAGCCTGCCTTGCACAGACAGCTGCCACATGCAGCAGCAAGCACTGGCCATAATCCACTCGTTCATCTCCAACCTCGGGACGATGTCTGGGCAGTATGGTCAGCAGACAAGGGAGCTGATCCAACCACACCTGGAGGGCCTCATGCAGCAGTTTCTGGCCATCCTGTCCCAGCCACTGACACCGAAAGACATGTCCCGTTGGGGGATGCTGATGGAAGCGATCAAGAGCTTGATCCAAATAATGTTGCACTTCAGCAGGTCAGTGAGGACCTTGTGACCTGATCAACATGCAGCCCCCAAATGGACGTGAAAGTGCCAGCGCCAGCACATGCGTTGCGCCTTGTGCCATTGTGTCTCAGACCACTGATCAGGATGACATTGCTAAGGTTGCATGCTGAGGTTCTTGCTCTCCATATGGTACTGTGCAAAGCCAAAGTATGTGTGGCGTATTTGGACCATCGTTACCAAATAGAGGAATACATTGTAAGAGCACATGCGGTTGCTCACCAGTTGTCATACATGACCATATGTATCAGGGTAGAATACCATATGGATTCGCTGTGTGCACCAGTTCGCCCTGGCATTCGCACCGACTTGATGCAGAACCTGAGGCAGTATGTTGCCTTGGTCTGTGGTTACTGTATGCTCCCGTTAGAAAAACAAGCAACTTTTCAGCTTCCTGAATTTCCTCAAATCTGGTGGACAGGAGGCTGTGAGTACCTGTCTGGGAGGGAGTTTCCCAGGCCTATGTCTCAGCCACTGTGGTGCGAAAGCCCTCATTTATTTTGATGATCAAATATGAACTATTTGCTCTAATGCATGGAGGCCATTTCTTACTATTCAACTGATGGTCCATTGTGACATGGGCCAGGCTTGTTGAACCCATGACAACGGAACTGGTGTCGTCTGCTGGCAAGTGGCTCCTGAACAGCTACCAGCTGTTTGTAACAGTGGTTTTGGACGAAGAGAATGAATCCGAAGAGGTAGAGGTGGACTCTGAAGGAGGGACAGCGGATTTTCAGACTGTCACTGCTCAGGTGAGAAGCGCTGAATGGACCATAGGTCTTCAGACTATCCTGCTGTGTGCCATCGAAACCAACAATGGACAACGTGTTCAATGTGAGAAAGCAATGACATGTTGCATATTTGTCGATGTTGGGCGCCGTTCACAGATCAAAATGTGTATCCATCATGCATTTCAGATCCTGATCACAGGCGCCCTGCCACAAACACTGGCAGTTGGGTGCCGTGTGCAAGACACAGCAAGAGAGATGTATGCCCGGGAGCTTAATGCAGCTTAGTTCTTTGGCTTCAAGTTCTGGGCATGTGCACACATTGCAGTTGGGGGCTATGGATGGACCTGCACCTAGGAGCACTGGAGTGTATTGGTGGTGTTACAAGTAGCGAGGCCACAGCAATGTGCCTGAGAGGAGATGCCAATGAAGTGGGCAAGATCATCCTGTCATGGTGATTCTTGGATTGTCTTCAGAACACAGGAAAATGTCTGTGGATGATGACGTGCTTGGGTATGACAGCTGAGACCCTGTCAAGGGGCGATGCTGAGAAACCCACAGCTTTAGTCATCCTTGCTCTGACACAGGCACCTTTGGTGTTCTTCTCATTTGTTGATGAAGCTGTGCAAAGTTTCAGGAATATAAAATCAACAAGTGCTTCTTTTAGACCATATGCAGAATTCTTTGGGGATTCTCTGGTTGTTTGCTGTGCAGGAAGGCAAAGTGGCATCGAACTGCGGCTAACAGTGATGTCGATTGCTGCCCTTGTATTGATTCTTGCCTCACCTGTTCATCTGCACACGTTAAGGTCATGAGCAATGGCTGTGCAGAAAAGCTCGTGGGCCTCGATTGCAGGCTGACAATGTGCCATTTTCTGTTGACTATCGATGGAAAACATTTTACCCCGTCAATAGCAGCCATGGCGATGGCTCACACTTGTTTTCGTCCAACTACTTGACTATCTGTGTGTGTCGATGGGGTTGACTTTGGTCTTCCAATTTTCGCAACTATCTTTGTTCCTTCTCTTATCGTTTGCTGTTCCTCTTGAACTCAGAGGCTTGAACATCATTTAAACAACATGGTCAATAGTCCCACAGAATTGGTGCTGTGGAGGTTTTTGTGCTGTGTATTGGTGCTGTGGAGGAAATTGTGTCGCTTGTGCCGATACGACACTCTTACACGCGTCCTGTCCAATCATTGATATGGACGTGTTTTGTACCGATATGAATCTCTGTGTGCCCGCCAAGGCCTCCAAAGTGCAGGGGCTGTGTTTTGTCCTGTGAGGACAAATGCCATCAATGGCTTTCATCCCTGTGTGCGTCTGCGCAGCTGTTTGAATTGTTGCTTGTGCTGATCGGCAACAAACGCCTCCAGCACCTATTCGAGGGCAGCCTGAAGGACCTGATGTACCTCACGTTGGGGTACATGCAAATGACGCAGCGGCAAGTCAACACGTGGGTCAACGACCCCAACCAGTATCTCGCCGACGAGCAGGAGGAGCTGTTCACCATGAGGGCGTCCGGCGAGCTCATGCTCACAGAGCTCGTGGAGGTATGCAGTACATTGCCACAGCCCCAGAAGTTCGACTTCGACGGATTGGTGCAACTCTTTCAGCCGAGTTGACAACGTCAGATGCAGCTGCCGAACGGCGCAGTGGGTTCATTCGCTCAGTGGCCGCCTGCAGAGATGTCTCCCGCCTGCCAATTGCCAACCGTCCGAGAGCTGAAAGAGATCTCGCCTGCGCATAGTTGAGTCTCTTCACACGCCTCAGCCAGGGGGGCGCACCCAGGCTGTCCGAACCAGGCGTTCGTTGCCGCCCAATTGACTCCAACGCTTGGACCGCACCGGCCTTGAATGAACGCACCTTTGGCACAAAGAACCCACCAGAACTGAGGCTGAACTCAGCTAGCGCGCCATCACAACAGGGCGAAGCGTCGCGCCGGCCCACGAATTCGTCAGCCCCCTTGTCCCCGGCTGGGGGCCCAACCACCCTTCCCATTATCCCGTTCCTCCTTTGTTCTCCCAACAACCTCTGCAATTGGATTTCCATCGCAGGCATTCGGCGACGACGCGATGCAGGCCCTGGGATCCGCCGTCGAGCGCCGCACAGGCGAGTCCGTGTCCGCGCTGTCGTCAAACAAGCCCAACTGGTGGAAGCCGCGGGAGGCCGCTCTGCTGGCCATGGGCTACGTCTCAGAGGCGATCGCCGAGGCGAGGCGATCGGGCGCAGGGGCGCAATTCGACCTGGGCCAATTCCTGGAGGGCACGCTGAAGAACGACATCGGCGGGCAGTGCCCCTACCTGGTGGGGCGGGCCCTGTGGATGGCCGCGAAGTTGGCGCCGGTCATGTCCGTTGAGCAAGCGACGCCCTTCGCCCAGGCGGCGGTTGCCGGTGGGTGTTTTGGCCTGTCGGCGGTTCGCTGGCTGACGACCCTGGCCTGGCTCTGACGATCCTGCGGCTTCGCTACGGACTGCTGAACGTCATCTTAGTCATTGTGGGAATGAATGGATGCATCCTTGCATGTAGCGCAAGAAACGTGACACAGGGAATAGAGCGCGCCTCCAGAACGAGCATAAACCGTCCGCGTCAGCTTACAATTGCAAGTACGATGAACCAAGGAAAGCTGATGATGATGGGATCAGTAGCAATAGACCTATGTTTGCTTCACCCCCTTGACAGCTCTGCGACAGAGACCGGGTGAATTTGGGTCAGTTGGCGGCTCTCAGTTTCACTGTGTCCCCTGTAGCAAAGCCAGAGACCTAGGTCCTGCAACGCACAGAAGGCCCAAATCCAAGAACCCTCCAACTGCTGCATGAACTCTCATGCACTTTCGCAGGACAACATGCTGGGCGTCGCAGTCGGTGGTTGAACATGCCTGGCTGCCAGAACCGTAGCTCTTGCTGGGCTGGACTCGCCACGTATTTTATGTAGCAGCTAAGTCCCGCCATCTGGATGTGTGATTTCAATAATGAACGCTGCATATCGTTGCAAAATTATGGACATAAGCAATTCTTTCCAGTCATTTATGGGTCCCTTTGTGTGGCGAAATGCAGTAATGACTCTTTGGCAACGAGGTGAAATTAAGCTCAGTATGGGATCAAACACTTGGGCGTGTAACAGCACAAGAAATCACATTGTAGGCGCATGGAAAATACTTTGTCATATTAGGCCTTGCAAACACGATGATTTTTTGAAGAAAGCCAGTGCCTTACAGAAATACTACTGTGCACTCATTTGCCAAACCCAGAAAGGCATCAGGTTGTTTTAGGAGCTGATGGGGTCCCCTTGTGGCTGTGGTGCAGGTTTGTGCGGGGGAGGCCCAGCACCTGTTCGCATTGGGGCTTGCCGCGCCATCTCCCAGCTGTTCCCTGCTTTGCCCCGTGAAGTGCTGAAACCTTGCATGCCATCAACGTTCGAATCTCTGGTCAGGATGCTGCAGGAGACCAGCGAGGACACACAGAACCTGGTGCTTGAGACGCTGGCAGTAGCAGCTAAGGTGACCGACCCGCAGCCCGGCCCCCTGTTGTTCTTCACAATAAAGATATGCATCCAGTTCTGGACATTTGTGAAAATGCTGGCGCTGCAGACATTCGGTAGGATTTGGGCACGACAATGTCCTGGTCTGAATGGCCACCCGTTTGAATGGCCTTTGGCTGATTGAAGTTTGAATTTCTTGTCAGGGCAAAAGGTGCCTTAGTTGGCTGGCCAATCTTGGGATGAGATGCTGCCAGACTGTCTGGTGGCTGCTTTGCTGTGGACTGCAGACAGCACATCCAATGGTTCAGCACCTGAAAGTTGTGCATACAATGGCTGTGCAGGTTGTCCTTTTGATGGCCTCCACTGCCAGAATTGCCCTCGTTTGCCCCTCCAATTCAATAGCAGAATTGCGAACAACCAACCAACGTTGTAGTGCATGCCAACAGTCAACAAAAGACAGCACCTCATTCGCCCTTCCACCCATGTGCACGCACAAAAGCACGCTCCACAACGTTCTCATGGCAGATGCCCTCTGATAGCAATCGCAAACCTTCACAGATTTTAATTGACTATGAAAATAACTGCAATTGTGGATGAACCGCCCAGGTGGACGAAGATGCAACGTCCCAGTTCGAGTCCCAGATCATGCCTACCACTCTCCAGATCTGGTCTGAAAACTTCAACGACCCCATGGTTGGCACTGCCGCGATGGATGTCATCACAGGCCTTGCAGCCAACAGCCAGTGCCTGCCTGGCCTGTGTCGCTCGGCATTGCCTGTCGTGAGCAAGGTTGTTGTGGAGCCTGCTGGGCAGCCTGCAGGGGCAGTGGAGAGCTGCCTGGACTTGCTGACTGTGCTGGTGGGCACGCGATCGCTTGAGGTGGCCGGGGCTGTGTACACAGCAGTCGGTCCCGCTGTTATGGCACTGCTGGCACAGTCTGACGACGCGGGTATCCTGGAGAGCTGCACAAAGCTGCTGCAAGCACTGGTGAGGGCCCAGCAGACATTTTAAGAACTGATTGCTCAAATTGAATTTTTTAGAAGACACAGCCCCTGGCCCCAACTGCATTTGTTGCCACACTGTATTCTAAACTTGGACTGGAGGTCGTCATGGTTTCTTCCCGATTAAGATTCAGATCAGATCCGAGATAACAGATCCCTGCCCCCAAATCCTCACGTTTTGCCTTGGCCGTGTTTGCAAAGTGACCGACGTAGTTTTGCTGCTTTCCCCAGTCAAAGGCACTGCAGGGGACGAACTCAAGCTGTTCAACACAATGTGAGGGGAAAGTGAAAGTGGAGACTTGGAACTCAAAGGGCATCTGAGAATAGTTCATAGTGATGATAGTGGTAGTGGTGGTGTGCAGGTGGATAGGTGTATTTGAGGTGGTGGGAGGGTGATAGAGATATGGACGAATAAGAGTCAGAGTTGCTCAATAGGATTGCTCCCTTGCCCCCATGCACATCGCAGCGACAGAAACATGCTCGGCTTTGAATTTTTCTGCCTGACGTTGCCAGGTGATGGTTGGCGGGGAGCAATTGCTGTCCTGGGGCGGAGCAGACCCAGCAGCTAGCCTGCAGACCCTCATGGCGGCAGTCAGCCGACTGCTGGACCCGGCCATGGGTGACGCCCCTGCTGCACACGTGGGCCAGCTGGTGAACGCCCTGGTTCAGAAGGTTCCCACTGTGCTGGGACCCATGTTGCCTGACCTTCTGAAGGCAATCATTTGGAAACTTCAGCACGTGGATATGTCACAGGCAAGCTCTTCTCCCTGCAGCAGTTCTTTCACCATCTTTTGCGAGCTTTGGATCTCTGTTGTCGCTGGTGGAGCAACAGATCAACAGATGGTATAACGTGTGATGCACTTCTGATATAGAAAGCAAGAAAAGCAAACACAGATATTCTTCCGAAGATGATCAATGTATGAAAAAAAACAAAGCCACTGAATCTCGCCATCTGACAAGCCACATATAAATGTAGCTTCTGCATCAGGGTTTTCAATAAAAATCCTTGCCTTCAGTGACCATGATGGATGGCATCGAGCCAGAGCTGGGATAACAACACACATTTAGCTATGTGTTCCTGTCCTGGCAGTCCACTCTGAAACCCTGGCTCAGCCTCATGCCTTTGCCGTTCGAGACCTCTTGGCATGCGCAGAAAAGTTGGTTCCAAGACATGGTGGACTGCAGCAGTTTTTCCATAATAGAAGTATTGACTGAGGAAATTGCACACGATTTGTGGAAGCAGGCCCTGTATTTTTTTGACCTGTGCAACCCCTTGTTGCAGGTGGTGGTGTCTCTGCTTGTGGTCTTCTTCAGACTTGCCCACAAAGATGTGAATTCATTGATAGAGGTCCTGGCAACGATGAGTGCACCTTCTCCAGGTGATATCACAGCATGGTGCTGTTGACTCATCCTGTACCTTGGTCTTGGCCTGACTGGTGCTCCATGCACTTGCAGTGGGGTACTGGAGAATAGATAAATCAAAAAAATCAAGTCTTCAAGCCATTGCAGCAACGTCAGAGACAGTACACTGGCCATGGTACTTGTCTATGCTGATTTCTGGTCAGCAGACAGCACCTAGTTTCCAGTGGTCTACAAAAAATCTGACGATGTGGATGCTTAGCAAAAGACTACCTGACTCCTGTGTCACATGAGCACATAAAATGCAGCAGACAACCCACAAGTATCTGGGGTCGTGTGATGCCACATGGGAGATATTGCTGGGCGTGACGCCTGAGGATGGGGGTTTAGGGGAATCCACAAGACTAGGGAAGGTGTCAAGCGACCAAATATAACCCAATATCAATTCAACCCTCTAAAACACCATCATCTGTCCTTCAGCCCTGTTTATTGATGTATGGGAGATGTAAGGGCCCACACAGCATTGGTGGCATCAATTCTCTGAGCACATTTTGAAGAAAATTGCTGCCCTGGCACCGTCCATTCTAAAAAGACCCGGTTCCACAATTATGATTCAACTCTGTGCATGTGAATAAGCAGGAAATGCCAATGGTCTGAATCATGACTCATCTCCATTGATATTTGTCACAGATGGCAGTACCAAGAATGCTTTGCAGTTAGTCATGGGCATCTGGACAGAAAGGTATGTCGAGATCCAGGGTCCTTACAGCATCCGGCTGGCCACCACTGCCATGGGAAACCTCTTGGCATCGGGGAACCCCAAGCTGTCAGAAGTGCAGGTGCGCACATTGCTGTCCACGATTATCCCCATGGAATAGAATAAATATTGATTCAATTGAATTGTCACCTGGGAGCCATGGCCAAAATCGGTTGAAGTCGGAACAACTTGTGTCCTGTTGCTGCCTGGTACCAGCAAGATTTGGGAACTGGTGATTTCGCAAGAATCCAAGGACTGCCTATCTGGTGGTGGCGATTCGCCTCATGCCACATAAACAATCAATCAAGTGCTGCAGTATGAATTTGTTGTTAAAGTGCTTTTATTTCCTTTGACAATGTTGTTCTAAAAGCCACAAGACACAGGCCTTGCACCTGCAATGTGATGTTGGGCATGAGTCCGCCTGCCGATTGCCCACAATGGAAAGCCATGAATGCCAAGGTCTGAAGGTCAAAAAGCATTTGTCACCGGGTTTGCAGACCTCAAGTCTGCCACTTTTATTGCTGTCTCTTGTGTCTTTGACGTCGTCTCCAAGGAGCATCAAAAGCATCTGTGGCCATTCTCTTGGGATGCTTCGAGCGACAGATTGGGACACCATTCCTACATGGTGCCTGCCAGGCAGTGGTGCTGACCCTCCATCGCGGTGCCTGTGGTGCAAAAGGTGAAAGGCAAGATCGTCCCTACGTCTGGCGGCGTGCGCACAAGGTCGCAGGCCAAGCGCTCAAACCCTGACAAGTGGGTCATGGTGCCCCTGCCCATCAAAATCGTCATGCTGTTTGCAGACATCCTGGTGGAGCAACAGATGGCAGAGATGGAACTGGCAGAGGGGTCGGATGAAGACCCGAAAGATGAAGAAGGCCTCACAGACAGTGTGGCAGCAGGGGTGCGCAGTGGCAGAGCTGTTGCCCTTTGTTTCTTAGCATTTGCAAATGTTTCATCGCAGTGATGAGTCCAAAGCCCATTCGTGTTCAGGCGACTCACAAGAAAGTGTAGCACGAGGTGAAGCCAAATTTGGTTGCTGTTCTTGTTGTGAATTACCAGCATGTGGATGGTTGAAATTGTCATGTCGCTGACCCATACCAGGACAATCGACAATGTACATGACCATGCGCAAATGCCCACCAGGGGCCATCAACTCCCTCAGAGGCACCCAGCGGGAGAGTGTGTGTATCTTACCTAGATTCCAAAGTTACAGAGGGAACGGTTGCTTTCTGATTGCACAATAGCTGACATCCATGCCCGCACTTTCTTCTGTGTGCTGTCATCCTAAGAATTGCCCTTCTGGGAAATGAAAACTGGCTAAGTAGTGCTCTTGCCCACGGATTCAAAGGGAGTGAGACCGTGGTCACCCTTCAGGCACTGCTCAGTTGTGTGCAATCTTGCAGTTGTCACTGCTGTGGCACATTGTAGTGGTCGACACACTGGTGGTAGAAGCTTCGTTCTTTCTTGTTGTTTGCCTTTCATCAGTGGGCCTTTGGATCGCTTTGCTCTGACTGCTCTCCACCACATTGCAGCTCATGACTCTGGATGATATCCTGGCTCGGCGTGAATCCGACTTTGCGTCTGGTGTGGACTTCGACGAGGGCTTGCACGATCCTGTGGACCCCGTGGCCCAGCTGGACCTTGTGCAGTACGCTGCAGGACAGATCAAAGATGTCAACGCCCGAGACCCGGCATTCTTGCAGTCGTGCATGGCAGCCTTCACGCCCGCACAAGAAGCCATCGTGCGGGGATTCCTGCAGAAGCAATGAGTAATGCCTCGCATGGTGCACAACTGAAGCAAAGTGGATTATTTGTTGGCAACGAGGTTTATCACAAAAGCAGTTTGTCATTCGTTGGCGGTTGTGAGCTGTTTGATGGCAGAGGACCACGCAGCCGTTGAGCTGTGGCATGGAGGGTCAGATCACACAAGTTTAGGAGTTTTCTCCACCATTTAGGCATGCCTAATGCCTCTACAATAGGTCTCTCGTCCTCAGTTCAGGATATTTGGTTCAAGCCAACATTTGTAGGATTTAGATTTGCGTGTGTCCACCGGTATTTGGAGTTGGCAAGCCATCAATGTGCTATTCCAATTGGATACCCTGACGATGGTATTGGGGGTGGCGATTCATAGATTGAGCAGCAGTTAGCTTTCTGCAGGTTGTCCTATATTAGCTCCGTAGCAAGCGATGAAACTTGTTCGGATTCTGGCATGGGTGTCCACAAGATTGTTGGAGATTTTTCGTATGAGCTTCAGGAGAGAGGCTATGTCGATTTTGTTACACTTAGTGTCACCGCCATACACTTGCCTAGGAGGGAGTGCCCTTTGTATGACCTGTTTCTCTTTCTCTTTTGTAACAAATCTTACCACCACCACCACCACCACCACCACCTCAGCGTCAATCCTTATGTCGAAGCCAGGATGGCTCCGTAACATTACGTAATGGTGTGGGACAAATCTATTGTGTTTTGAAGAAAGAACAACAGCCAAAACTCCAGCGACTCAGTGGTCTGAAAATTGAGATGCAAAAGCCATGGCAGATGGTTGGGGGCACTTTTGAATGCCCCCAACTGAGATTAAATGGGTCCTTTTGTGAAGACCAAAGCGCCCAAGGGGGGTTTGGGGACATGTCATAAGTTCTGACCACCTTTCAGCGGCGTTTTGGGTATCTTCCAAGCATATGTGGGTTTTGTTGCAATTACATAATCTCAGTGTCACAGATCGCCCCCCCTCCCCTCCCCCCCCTCCCTCCTCCCTAGTGTCAAATTGACGCTAAGCGTAACAATTCGACATAGTGTCTTCCCTTAGCATCCAAAGGGCCACAGCAAGGCATTGTTTTGAGAATGCCATTCTTCAGAGTCATGCAAAGTAGTTACCAGATGTACACTATTGCAGTACTTCGTCGCACCTATTTCCTATTCTGAAAGGGTGCTGAAGAGAAAAGAGGTTGGCGATCTCAGTGGTTAGGTTGGAATGTAAATTTAAAACAGGGCAAGGGCAGGGCAGCGTGGCCTCCAGAATGGGCCTCCAGCTCCTGTGAGTACGTTCTTCATCAGACGCCTGAGTGGCCAGTGTGGAGCACTCCTGCGTATATCGCCTCTGCCCAGATTAAGTCATGCTCTGTACCTGCACCTGCAAGACAGCGCCAGGCTCTTGTGCAACCGCATCCTGTGCTCGAGAATGTGCAGTCAACAACTCTTACAGCCCATCTGCAGCAGGGACTGGGCTGTCTGCAGAAGCAACATCTGGTTTCCAGAAAATCCTTTCCGGCTGCAGCCCGGCATGACCTAAATTCCTTATCTATTAAGGGACCTCCGCATACCAGCCCTTGATTATTTGTCCACGTGTCTTCGAAGTGGCCGTGTCAGCCCAGCGGCCCGTCTCGGTCAAGCCCGCACACACGTATACCAATATGGTACAGACATGATCATCATCATATCGTGTGTTTAAGCCACTTACTAAATGGCACACCAAATGGCCGCTGTTCACGTTGAAGCAATTCCTTTGGATGGAGCAGTTAAATTTGGCGCAATTCATTGAATTGAATTGAATTTTCCGTTGACAGAGTGTCAACCTGGCGCGCTCGATTGCATCCTGTCATGCCATCGCGCAGGAGTGAATGTGGATATTGATGGCGTGGATCCTTGGAGACACGTACGTGGATTCCACCAACAATTTTGAGCGCACTCCAGTGTGTTGGAGCCACAGCGATGCGTTCGCTGCCACACATGCCCCCAGATCCCCACCTCGCCTTTCCTTGAGAGTGCCACCTGTGAGTTGGGTCCTGGAGATTTCGCAACGCCCCAGCCATAGAAGCATTTGTCCATTGCCCCAACCCTTTCTTTTCGGCGGCAAGGCACGTTGTCCAGCTAACTCCAGCACAGCTTCTACCCTGTCTTTGCGCCCATTTGCATCCCATCAAATCGTAAAATATGTTGGCCCATATCGTAGAATAACCCGTACTATGCTGTCACACGTGCCGACTTCACCTTCGGCATGTGTCCAGTTGCTCAACGTCTGCAACATGACTAAAACTGTGGTGCCTGAAATGGACCCCATTTGATGAGGTTCTCTATTGTGGTCCCATGTCAGTCACCACAGTGAATGTCTCGTCAGAACGCTTGACGTCATCAGCATCATCAAAATCCATGGATTACATTTGTCACAAATGCTTGACGTGGACAGCTGCCGTAAGCTGACCAATGTGTTGCTAACGAGCGACCACGCACACCGAACGCCTCACGAGAACGGAACAGGAGGACACGAAATTTCCCTCGTCCAATCCTCCGTGGAAATGTCCCCAGGGGCATTCGTCCGTGCAGCGTCTCATTGCTCCCTCACGCGCAGCTCCCCCTATCGTATCATATCCAGAATCCCCTCGTACATGGAAGATCAACGCACGGAACAATGGCTGATCCTTATCGCATCACCCTCAAACCGACGGTAGTAAGTCGCTGACAGGTTCGCCGCTGGGGACGCTGTCCGGCGGAGGCGGTTTGGGAACGAGCTGGAGGCAACGGAGTTACAGACCCCAAACAGCGATGTCCTTTTCGGGCAGGCCATCCATTCCGTCCACGTGTCATGAAAACAACGTCATCAACGTCCACACCTTGCCCTTCCCGCTTAAGCGCGACCCACATTAAATGTGGAAAAGCGTCTTGAAATGAACGGCGGAATGAAGCGTCCCAACCAATCTCCTTGCTTTCAACAATCAACATCAATGTTCACCATGAACAGACCTTGGGTCCCTTGGCCTCACCCCCCAACCCACCTCGCGGTTGTCCGGTTCCTGTCCCTGGCGCCTCCTTTCCCCGCGCACGCCCCTGCGCCCTCCAGCGCCGCAGCTCGCGCCACCCGCCGCGCCCACGGCGCCATCCACCCATGGCCAACTCCCCACCGCCGCGATGCAACTGTGCGGCCGACGAGCGGGAGGCTCGGCCCGCGGATCTGTCGGCCGTCGACGACGCGGTCGTCGCGTCGCTGCGCGGGATGCACCGCCAGGCGGCGCAGCAGACGGCGCTGCTGGAGCGGCTGATCGAGCGCATGGACAAGCAGGCGGCGGGAAGAGCTGCAAAGGCACCGATCGAGCGCGGCGATCGCGACGCCGTGACCAAGGCGCCTCCTGACGCGGGCGCAGAGAAGGGAATGGCACCAAAGGCGACCAGGGGCGACGGCCAAGCCGCGACCCTCCGGTTCACCGATTTCCCGGAACGGTTGTTCCAATCAGGATCCAGGCATCATGCCATCTCAGCCAGCGAGCTGATCTCGTCCTTTGGCGAGGTCCGAACCTCCGCGGACAATCCCCTCCGCCCCTGCGCGGGCCAGCCCATCCGATTCCGAACCGTGGACGCCTCCAGCCGCCTAGCGCTGACGCCCCTCAGGGAGTTCCCCGGCTACGCGGACATTCTTTCACTCCGCCGTCATCCCGGCCAAGATGATCCCATCGAGCGTGAGCTCCCCTTCTGCCTCACCGTCGCGGCGGCCATCTTCGACGTCGCCATCCCACTGGGCCAGCTGGACGCCGGGCTGCGGCAATCGCAGCCCGACGCCGATTACGCCTTCCTGACATCCGCCCTGGACGTCCTCAAGGGGACACACCGACTGATGCTCGATCGCGCGGTGGAGCTGATCGCGATCGCCGCTGCCGGCCCGGATGCCGCCCAGGATCTAAACTTTGAGCTGCACGGCCCGCCGGATGTTTGCCCGTTCCTGGATCCCGCCACGAGGAGGATCTTGCGCGAGCACGTGAGGTACCGGGCGGCGGGGAGTGGAGGCCCGCAGGGCTGCGCCGGGGGGTGGCAGCGAGCGCGGAGCGGGCACAGGGGAGCGGGAAACCCCGATGGCAGAGGCGGCAGCATTGACGGGAACGTGGATCAGGGGAGGGGCGGCCCTGCTGAGGATGAGGAGGCCATGAATGAAGCGCGCCAGCAGTGCGCGTGACTGGCCGGAGGCGGTTTGATGAGAACGAGCTTGCGGATTCGCGCGTCCTGATGCACACAACACCTCGGCGGTTGGATTGTGGCAATATCTCAGGTTCTCATGGAACAAGTCAATGACACTGCTCTGCGCGGGCGAAATGGGGAGCTGATGGCTACATCCTCGCCTCTATATGTAAGATTTCTTGGCGATGGCGATGGCGACTCACCGGCGAAAACCATTTCCTTTCCCTGTGTTGTCATCGACATGCGCTTCTTGGAAATTAGGATTTGGTGGATTCTGGACGTTGTTTATGCTAAACATTAGGTTTCAAGAAAGAAAAAATGGACGGTGCTTCGCTCGGGCAGAATGGGAACTAACGGCTGCCTCCTTGCCTTGTTGTGTAAAAGTTCACGATGATAACTTGGTAGTCGTGTGGAGGGGGTCGTTCAGCAGTCGTCCGGAGGGGGTCTGTTGTGACGCCAACGAGGATGTGGGTGATAGGTTGCTGGGAGGGTAATTGCAACAAGTGGGCGTCGTGCATTGGATATATCAGATGGCTGGCGTGGGCGGTGGGTGTGGCCACGGAATGGCTGGGAAGCGCAGGGGAAATGGCGAAAGTGGAACCCCTGACAGCCAGGCACAGGGGGCGGAATTGCAAGGGTGGTTGAAAAGGAATGGTCAGCATTCCAGACCATGTCTTAAAGAGATGAAGAAGCGCCCTGATCAGAGAAGAATCAGAAGCATGCGGAAACACACCCCGTAAAATATTCAGCCCTTCCGCAAGGCAACGCAACGCATTGGCTTTTTTTGGGAGCAACATGAAAAGTTAAAAGAACGCTCTGAAAAAAGGATGCGGAGCAAAAATTGTAACGGTAGAATTTGAATATTGGCGCGCATTCCAACCTGTGATCGCACCTGACCGTATTACTCATGCGGCCGCGGGGGCGCCAGGGGTGCCATCAGTATAGTGACCATGCGATCGCAGGTGGGAATACAACCACGGTACACGGGCAGCATCAGTGGTCGTGTGACTGACGCATGAAGCTGGGTGCTTTGTCGACCCAGCCAAAGGAGGCGCATCCTGTGCAGGGGCGCCCAGCTTCTGCATGAGCCACACAACGCCACCTGAAACGAAAGGCTTTGGCTGGCCGAGGTGGCCGTGATGGCTGATTGTGCCTCTATAAGGAGGTCACAAATGTGTGATCAGGACATTGTGGCAGGTGTGCCAAGCGTCCCAAGTCTCCCAGGTTTCCTGTTTCTGGCCAGGGACGCCTCCTCAAGAGAGTTGCTCACGAGTTGCCATTGGCAGTTGTTCGCAACACCACATAGTAGTCACCATTTCACTGGGTGGATCACTTATGCATTGTGGTGTGCGACTTGTTGCGAGCAAGCGCAGCGAGCGGAGCTTTATATGCACTTCAAGAATATGGTTTCTGCCATGCGGGTGTCCTTCACCCCACCCCACCCCACCCCACCCCCTGTGTTCCCCACACGACAATACATTACACTCACACAGTTTGGTGTCCATCACCTCACTACTACAATTGGCGATTGGCGACCCACTTGAACGTGCCCTCGCTTCGCATAGAACTCAATGCCACCCTGATGGTGACTCAACCCTGAGTCAGCTCCCCTTCCTCGGTACTCAACTCCCTCCCCTTCCCACAGCGAACCGAAGCTCACTCTATGAGGGCGGGCCGGGCGGGTGCGAAACAAGATAAGGGGGGCGCCAAGGGTCGCGCCTAAAATAGCCGCTCCCACTTGCCGCCCAACTCCCCGCCAAACCCAAGGGCCAGCTTGACCGGTCCCCTTGTCTATGCCCAAGGTACAAGGTTCCCCCCTAACTGCCCTTGGGTCCGTCGGGCAGAACTGATCCCAAGTACAGGGTTGACAGAAACCGGCCGAGTGATGGCCCTGAAACTGGCCCAAGGGGCAGAACGGCCCAAACTGGCCGTTGCGCGCCCACCCAACGTCGTCCTTGGCAGAAACTCATTAACAGGATAGTTAATTATATTTACAAGGCATTCTGAATCCAGAAAAAGAAAAGAAAAATGTGTATTATCGTATGGCTGGTTTGTGGTGGATGATGGTCTTTGTCAAGTGAAAAGAGTTTCGTGTGTGCAAAGAGATTCGAATTGTCCGGTTGCGGTGGTCGTTGCCACCGTCGGCAAGGCTCTTCGCTGTGGGAAGGGTGAACAAATATGTAAACCCTGGGCGTGTTGTGTGCGGTGTGGCCTTGCGTCTGGCCGTGTACCAAGGCTGTTGAAGCATCGGCGATCGTGGATTCGTGCTTCCCGTGTGAACTCCAAAGGGGACCGTCTGAATCGCATCAACGGCCATTCCTTCAAGACAGTACCAACATGCCAAGTTGGAACGTCCCAGTGTCCCACCGAGTCGTGGGAGTGCTGGGGTACACCGCTGCCACAAAAGAAGGATACATCCAGGCCCGCTTCATCACGACAACTTACATCCAGAAACCCACTGCTGGCATCATTGGAGGCTGTGGTGCGTTCGCTCGTGGGATCGTGCGCCATGTGGGGCATGCTTCTTGCACAGGTCATTAACTACGTGAAAGGGACTCCTTGCGATCCTACAGGATCAGAGGATCAGGTCTTGAGACCCAGCGACAGCTGGCGCTGCACGAGGAGCCCAATTGCAGCCCCAGATCGAATCATGATACGAAGGCCACAAACACACGCAGTTAAGGTGCGTTTCGGGACAAACTTCAACATGCCGCAAAACTGACTCACAGCACGTCAATATCGCGCATCTGGACCACCAATAGTTCGATTCGGCAATGTGTGCACAGAGATGCCCATGACCAAACGCCACTGGCCAAAGAATTTCTGAGCTGCCAAATAATCGGCAACAGCACAGATGTCCACCCTGAGCGGTCGCACAAAGCCTTCCACCCCCCAATGTGTGACGCAGCACGCAGCCCTACACATGATCTGTCCCAGCTGGCTCTCGCAAGCAAACAACCCTAAAACTGAAACCATTCCTTCCGCAGGGGATCACTCGAGAGGCTCAAGCCCTTCTGACTAATAAACACACTGAATGCCACACCTCAAGGAGGCACCAGACCTCACAACATCCTTCCCTAGGGGACTGCAGAGTGCCTGCTCTTCCCCTGTATGCCACCAAACCAAACCTTTGGGCAATGAGGCTTGATGCGAGACAACGATAGGATCTTGAAGAAACCAAAGAAATGGGGGTTCCTGACCGCCCTGTTCAGGCGGGGCCAGTTGCTGATTGCAGGAAAGCTCCCGCTGGCTTCGGCCATGCCAGCATCCAACCATCTACTGGCACTGCATGCCGCTGCATCAACAAAAGCGCACCGACCTGGTAATTCTCCTCAAAAGTGCAATTCATTTATGGCCCACAGGGCAAACGCTGCGTTTGCTACACCTGCTCAATCGCCATTCTGTTCATTCCCATTCCTCGCGGCAGGAACAATTTTTCCTTTCTTCTGCCATAGCGCAACAGACACCTCCAAGCCTCCACATGGCGCTTCACCCAGGAACGTTCACATCATCTGAACAAATGCTGTCCATTGTCCCTGTCGAATTCATGCGTCTGTTGATTCCCACAACAGCAGCACAACGTGCCCTATCCTTTGATGTGCCCTTTCAGCCAGCTTTTGAACCTCTTGGGCTTGTCCCCCTTCTTCTTCACTGCTGCTACCTGGACACCGCTCTCTTCTGGCGTTCTGCTCTCTTCCGGCACTCTGCTCTCTTCCTGCGCACTGTTCCCTTCCACCTGAGCACTGTTCCCTTCCTCCTGCGCACTGTTGCCTTCCTCCTGCGCACTGTTCCCTTCCTCCTGCACACTGTTTGATTCCATCTCAGGTTCCTCCTCCCCTACCGTTCCAGATTCACAGTCAGCACAACGTGGTTCACCACCATCAGGCGGCACACTGAGTTTCCTGTGGCAGCGTTCACATTCCTCCGCCGCCTTTGGAGAGTGCTGTTGAGGTTCGGACGGGGAATCGCCGGGCTGAGGATCCTGCTCTCCAGAAGCCTCCGTTGGAATGGTTGGTTGCCCTGAATTGCGCACATTCACTTGCCTACACTCAGGACAGCGCATCCCCAGCGCATGCACTGGACAGGACATCCTGTGTCCGCACTTCACGCAGTCCAGTGGCACCATCTTTGGGGCTGGGGGTGGGGTTGGGGCTGGTGGCGACTGGCGCCCGCCGGCAGAACTTGCCTCATATGCACTTGAGGCGTCGCCTGCTGGGGAAGCCCCCCCAGCTGGCTCCTTCTTGGCGTTCACCACATTGACGAGGCTACACACTGGGCACTGGACGTCCTGCACGCCTGAAGGACACCTCAGCTGACTGTGGCACTGCTCGCACTCGATGGATATCGTCCCCGTCTTCTGGCGTGTGGGCCGCCGGGCAGGTGGAGCCACTTCGTAGGAGCTCAACGAATCCTTAATTGAGGGCGCCACCGGCGAGGGCCCCCGCTCCAAGCTGCACACATTTATCTGCCCGCATGTTGGGCACTTTGCTCCCTGGGGCCCAGACGGACGGCACATCTTGTTGTGGCACTTCTCACATTCGATCGTGGCCACTCCCGGGGCCTGTGCAGTGGGGCGATTGGAGACATTCACTGAATCGTACGCTCTCAGGGCATCCTTGGTTGCTCTTGGCACTGGAGAACCTACCCGCTCCCAGCTACAAACATTGGCGTGCCCGCACGTTGGGCATGGCGCTCCCTGCGGTCCAGATGGGCGGCCCATTTTGTTGTGGCATTTTTCGCACTTGATCGTGGGGCGCCCCTTTTCAGTGCGGCCACTGGCCACGTGCGCTGAATCGTAAGACCTCAAGGCATCATCCTTGGACGACTTTGCACGCGAAGATGGCCTCCGCTTTGGCATCCGTTCGTTGACCTCTCCACACACAGAGCAACGCACACTTTGTGCTCCAGGTGTGCAGCTGATCTTATTGCGGCACTTCTCACATTCAACAGTGATCGTGTCAGGGCCTTGAGTGCGGGACCTCTCCGACCTGGCTGGCACCATATCAGAAGACACAGGCTCCTCAGGCATGTCCTGGTTCGGACTGCGCAGGTTGACTTGCCCGCACAATGGGCACTCCACTCCCAGTGCATCAGACGGACACCTCAGCTCACTATGGCATTTCTCACAGTCGATGGTGGTCATTATTGGACGGTGAGGGGATGGCCGAGCTGCAGGAGACAGCGCTTCATAAGAACTAGAGGCATCTTCACTTGGGGATGTCGCAGTAGCGGCCCCTTGCCTGTCGTCATGCATGCAGGGTTCCCCGCAAACTGGACATGGAGTCTCCGGTGCGTCCACTGGCAAAGATACCAGACTCTGACACTTTGGGCACTCGAACGTCTCAATCCCTAAACTGTGAGGAGGGTCATGGTGGGAGAAAGGGGGATCCCCATTAGGCATTGCAGCACCATGTCCTCGCGGCAATTCCCCATCGCTCTTAATCATCCCACACTTCTTGCACTTCACACTGAGAGCGCCATGAGGAAACTTCAAATGATTGCCACACTGTACACACTCGGCAGTGGCCAATCCAGAATCCCACGAATGTAGAGCATGGGCATCCTCAGAAGAAACAGCTGCAGGGTACTGAGCTCGGCCAGTATCGGACGGAGTCACTGGAGGAGGGGTCAGCAGTGCACGGGCCGCCGGTAGCTGGTAGCAGATGTGCCCGCAAGCGACACACTGGACACCCTTTGCTCCTACAGGGTAATAGAGCCTTGTGCCACACACCTCGCAGTCGATAGCTGCATGAGGTGGCTTGCCAGACGTAGATTTGGATGCCGTGGAAGGCTTGGAGGTTACCGCCCCGCCGTCAGTACCAACTGCAACTGGGTTCCCATGTTTTCCCACGCGTCTTCTCCCCTCTTTCCTTCCTACATTGGTGGTGCTGCAGACTGGGCAAGTGATCTTGCTGTCACCCTCAGGACATGTCAACTTGGAGTGGCACTTTCTGCACTCGATCGTAGACAGGTCAGTGAGTTTTGGAGAGGTTCTCAGGAAAGGGAGACGCAGAGGATAGCGACCGGCAGGTTCCTTGGGGGGAGCTGCCAAGGCTGCCTTGGGTGATGAAACAGCCTCCACCAACTGGTCCTTTGCAGGGGTGTCCTGCAATGTGTTGACACGCCCGCAACTGCTGCACCTTGCATTCAGCACCCCAGGCTCCCTCATCAGTTCCACGTGGCACCACTCACACCTGACGGTCTGAACATCTGATGCTTCTGGAATGGCACGCAAGGGGGGTGATGGCCCTTGAACCAAGGTATTGAACTCGCCGCAACCCGTGCAATTCACACTCGTAGTTCCTGGAGGAAACCATAGTGGGGTGTGGCACTTTCTGCACGCCAGGTTAGGCGTGCCAAACGCCTCCAGCTCATCAGATGGCTCCTTGTAGTGGCCTGGCACCTTCATGACATTGCTCTTTATGTCCAAAGACTTGAGTTCGCGACTGTTGGGGGCTGTCTCTGACAAACCTGAGCATGGGGACTCGGACCCATTGACACAACAATGCGGAGACGTCTCAGACTTGCTCAAGCTGGGAGAACTGCTCATGGACATCATTCCTGAGACAGTCTGTGTGTCATTGATGGTATGGCAGGCCGGGCACTGGACACGCAATGCCCCCTTGCTGAACTTGAACTTCTTCCGGCATGACCTGCATGCCATGGACTTCAATGCCTTGCCCGCTTTGGGTGCAGAGCCACCAGTCCCACCCCCAGTACCCAACCCCACAAGGGTCACACCTGTGAGGGTCACATGCTGACAACCCGGGCACTTCACTCCCTTGGCGCCCAACTTGTGGTATAGCTTCTTCCCACACTGGCTGCAAGCGATTCTGGCAATCTGGGTAGAATCTGTACTGCTGCCAGTGATCGTGGGCTCTGGGAGAGGCTCCTTAACCGGCTTGCTGACCCGGGTGACTTGTCTGCAGCCTGGGCACTTCACGCCCTTGGCCCCTGCAGGGTACTTCAGCTCTCTGTGGCATGTGCTGCAGCTCAAACTCATCGCACCAGAGACTGGCAGCACAACACAAGCAAACACGTCAAGTGATCGGCCCAGTTCCAGGGTCATGCGACTGCTCTTGATGGAAAAGGACCGTGCCACAACACGAGCATTACCTCCACCCCCACCAACCCAAGAATCTTCTTCCTAGCATAGAAGATGTCGCCACTGAGTTCACCAGCGAGAGCCTACAAAATAGAGTAGCATTAAGGCAAGAAATATCACTAAGGCAGGTGCCCACACCACCTGCACAATTGCGTGCACTGCCTCAACAAATTTGGCATGGACCCACACAGGACTGTATTGGGACAAACAGGTGTGAACGGTTCACATCTGGGCATATACCGCAGCATCCAGTGGTATCAGCTATTCTGGTGCTTATCCCTGCCATAGGCTGTTGTGGCTGGTCTCAAGGAGCGCAAGTGCTATGAACCCTGTCATAGACCACAACTGCTATTCAGTGCTGGAGACACCACAAAGGCTATCAGCTGTGCGGGCCAATTTCTGGGAACGCAGTTCCCATGCCAGACTCCACATGCCCACACAGCAGTCCTGACTCGGCCACAGTGCTTCAACCAAATGCACAGGCAAGGCAGGTCCATGTTCCAGAAGACTTTCTTCCACTGCTGCATTGGGATACGGGAGCTGTCGCACCATTTTTTGTGAGTGCATGTACGGACAATGCTGTTCTGGTGCTGTGTTCGTGATCGTGCTGAAAGCTGAGATGGGATATGGTGGCCAGGGCCCAAATCACTTCGGTCGTGCAATATGGCCCGTCAGACCCTCTTGCCCTCCCTTAGCACCACCCCAACCTAAACCAACCCCACTCCCAGCCTCTCCTTGTTAATCGCGGGATGCCCGTTGCTTCGCGTGCCACAAAGCCGACTTTTTCAGTGGCCATTGACAGCACAGCAGGAGGGATCCTGGCAGCACTGCACTGCCGGTGCTATTGCCCGCGACGGACACCAACAACGCCCGCGGTCCAACGGGTGCTCCTCTTCGGCAAGCAAACGAGCCCTGCGCTGGCCGGGGACGGGGCACACCACGCTCCCGAACGCCGCGATGGACCCCGGCAAGGGAAACGCAAAACCTCCAACACAGTACATGCGACCGGGATCCCAACGTGGCGATGCCATCGAGGGCGCCGCAGCACGGGCAGCTGCAAGCATGGAGAAACTATCCGGCGGATAAACAATCCGGCTCACAGTGTTCACCCACGCTCCCGCATCCCCGTCCCTGCATCGCCGTCTCGGTCGGCGCGCCCCTGCGCCAAAAGAGTGACCTCCGGCGCCAATAAACCGACCCCGCGATGCAAACTTACGCCAGGGCAACAACGCAACAGGGCGCCGCGCTGCTGCGGGGGCCCGCCGGGAGGGCGACGCCCACGCGAGCCAGTTGCTAGGACTAGCGGCTGCACGTCACCTTCCGCAAATTGCTTCCGTCAATCAATTGCGCCCCGCCCCGACCCAGGCGACGTTGGCCGGGTCGCGATTCCCCCGCAGCCGCCCTTGCGGCCCCCTCACCTGCCCTCCCTCGGCCCCCGGCCGCTTGCCGCTGTCCACCTTGGGCCCCGCCTGCCGGCGCAAGGCTCGCCTCCAAACTGGGGTCCTGCCGATCGCCACCCAAAGCCGGCAGTCAATGGCGCGTTACCAACGCCCCGACAAAACCCCCCGGCAGGACCGGGTGCGGTACGCCGCCGGGGCGCCTTACGGAGCGCCGCCCTCTCAACCACCGGCCCTTGAGCCGCAGGACAGCAACTTCACAGGCCGGTTTTTCACCTCAAAACGGAGCCCGCCTCTCAGATGCCGCCCTCAGCTTAAACTCCCGCGCTAAGCCGCGAGCGCGCGAGTGCCCAAGTCGCGGGCATGGGCCGGGACGGGCGTGCCTGTCGCCCAAGGGTCTCACCAAAGGCCGCCCAGACCGCCCGCCAATGTCTCCCTCCACCGTCCTCCGGGCTGTGCCTCACCAGACCCCCCCTTGCGCCACTTCTCCGCAGTGGCGCAGGCGACCGCGGACGGTGGCGCCCCCCAGTTTCGTCTTAACGCGGCTCCGCGCCCTGCGTGGTGGACGAAGGGCGCCATTACGATAGTCGTACAGGGCCGCCGGCGCTGATTGGACAACTCGCGTGCATCTGACGCCCGGACTCCTTGTGCCCGGCGGTTGTTGAGCTTTGTGGCTTTCATGGGGACACGTAGTCAGACCCAGTACGTGCGCCGCCACGTGGTGGTGCCTGTGTCAGACGGTTTAGTGGGATTTCTTGGGCTCCTTCCTAGCGTACTCCTCGGCATTAGGGCCCGCTTCTCGGAATCCAAACCCCATTTGGATCCGCGGGTTGTCAGCAACCACCCCAAACTTTCCTCGGAGGTCCTTGGATTCGTGTCCACGAGAGAAATAAAGCGCCCTTCTTGCGCACAATTGCGACCCTTCAAAGTGCAGCGAGCACCGTACACATCGGCGGTACCGCAACCTGGGGTAGTGGGCCAATGTACTGTGGCAACCGCACTCACGGCCGGTGGCCTCAGCCACCTCTTGTGATACATTAAGCATCTGCTCTGATCCACGAGGACGGAGGTTGTTCGGTTATAGAAGCCGGTTGGCAGTGCTCGAGAGGCAGGTGGGAACTCTCGTAATGTGCAGATCAAACATGATGATAGCATCTTGCAGAAATAGGGAGGGCATCTCCGGCAAACAGTGAGGGCGGGGGTGGCGGCGAGCAGCCACATGGCGTCAGTTCAATTTGGATGGGGATGGGAGTCGAGAGGCATGGAGCCCCGGTTTCAGAAGATCCTTTGTACGACAAACTTGTCCTGGCGTGTGGTGCCCGAATTGCTTAGGTTGTGAAGGCTTTGCTGGCTATAGCTGCGATTGATTACTGGCGCTTTCTGTGTTCGAGGCAGACGCCTTTCGGGGTGGCGCTATGGGAGGCACGTGTCGATTTTTGTAATTCATTGTCGACCTCTTAAAAGAGGAATCGCGACTTTGACAGTGAAGCACCCGCAGCGACGCAACGGCGCCCAAAAGTTGCTTAACGAATCTCCCTTTTTTCACCAAAAGTCCCTCCCCGCTCAACATAATCCCACAACTCTCGCTCTCAACCATGGCGAACATATCCCCGCTACGCAAGAAGCCACTCTCTGACATCCCCGGCATCCGGCCTCTGCTCCGCGTCTGCCCTCAAGCACTCTCGAACAATCACCTTCCAATCGCCCTCGCACGCAGTGCCATCCAATCTGTACAGACCTTCCCCATCCACAGCGTCTGGGCCCCCAAGCCCGCACATTTCCAACATCAGCATGCCCAACGCGTACACGTCCGCCTTGGCGGTCACACGGGCGTCTGCTGAGACGGCCTCTGGAGGCAGGTATCTCCAAAGCGGGCTGCCTCTCGACGGTCCCTCCCATTCGCTGTACATTGAGCCAGAACACACGGAAGTGCCAAAATTGTCAATTTTTGCGTGTGGGGTCCCATCGGGGCCCTCGAAAAGAAGGATGCTGGGCGCGGCGATTCCTAAATGGACAACCCCGTGGTCGTGAATGTGGGTCATGCCGGAGGCTATCTGCCCGGCGACCTGCAGGCGCATAGCCCTGGGCAGCGCGGCGCCACCTGCGGCCCTGCGGCAAACCAGATGGCGCTTAATGGTGCCGTCGATGCAGCTCCGGACCGATGCCAGTGTTGTCACAGCACTGCGAACATTGGCGTCGGGAGACCGGTCCCGTGCAAATTGTCCACTTCTACACTGCGGCAGTGCAGAAAGCACTGCAGTGCTGCTGTTCTATGACTCATTACTATGTGCATGCCATCGCGCTTTGTGAGCGCTTGAATGGGCACATGGACGGGTCATTGTAGTCAGGCCTGTCCATGTTCAGGCGCTGACAAAGCCCCATGAAACGATCAGCTGTGGTGCAGTCATTCACCACCCATTAACGACAATTTGACATCCATTTAATAATACACGATTCTTTGTGAATAATACATTATTTGCGTATCAAGATATATTATTAAAATCTGCACATGTGCAAATTATCTCCAGTGGTCCTTGAACATGCCAATATACTGTCTTAACACATCCAAGGATCCGTGCAGGTATGCACGGTAGGAATTAGGCCATTAGACACCATTTGGTCTTTCAATCATCATGTCATAGAATCATTTCTTAGGCGCATGATACCTGCCACGGTAACTGACAGCTGTTCTCGTCAATTGACTTGCAAGTATCCTGGTATCTGCGCCGCCAAGTCTGCTGCCATTAGTGCCACATTCCAACAAGAAACAAGCACATTCGTCGCCTCAACACTAGGAAGAAGGGCTAAGTAACACGTGTTTAAACGTGTACAAAGTTTACTTGTTTGGGTGTTTTTAGCATGCACAACATTGATGAATACATAACACCTATATGTGTGTTCTCAAAAAGTGTTATTTGGTCCTTTTTTGCCTAGTGCAACTCAAGGCATCAACTGGTCATGTAGCCGCCAGCGAAGCAACACCACCCTCCAGTAAATACCTCCTTCTGGTGAAGTGCACCGTTATCAATGCAAACAATCTCCTATCATAGCAAATGCACAGCAAGATATCTTGCTGCGTATTTGTCTTGATGGGCGACTGCTATTATTTTAGCCCATCGGTGTGATCCACAAGGGTGACTAGGGAACCGGCTCCGCCCAGCTCACTTGAGAACCTCCTCAAGAGTTCCTATTACGTCCCTGCCACCGCCGCGCTCTGTCAAGAACCCGACTGGCTGTGGCACGGAAGATGTCCCATTGATGACCAGGGCCACGAATTGTACCACGTGAGGGTGGCCCCTCCCAACGAGCGAATGAATCCTCGTCTCCTCCATGATCTTCCGTTGTCCCTCCTACGTCAACAAGTCCACACCCGGCGACCGAACCTGAATTAGCTTACGCTGGAATTGGCTTCGACTTGTGACCCACCACAACTTGTGCACGTGTGCCTGCCCAGGCGGAGAGGGATGACGTCGGCAACGACAGCGTATGCGATTGATCAAT